TCGTTTTAAAAAGAAAAATATGTATTTTTTTTATTTGATAACATTTTTTTATTTTATTTTTTCTACTTTTAAATAAAAGTATTATCTAAATTTTCAATTTAATTTTTTTTTTTGGTTTTGGATTTTTTTGTTAAAAAAATATTTCATAATTTCAGTTCATTCTTAAAATCGTATTTATTTTATTTTATTTTAGTTTTTCTTAATTTAATTTTAAAGTAATAAAATTTAATTTTTAAGTACTTAATCCTTTCATTTATTATTTTCTTTCATTTATTAGTTTTATTTTATTAAGTAAATATATATCTACATATTTACATATTTCTTTAATTTATTTTATTTTTAAAAACTTATTGCTAAAATGTGAACAGCATAACGTTAAGCCCTCCTCCTTAGCAGATCTTTCAATCGGTCTTTCGAAAGAGAGTATCTAAAGAGATTTCAAGATAGCTGCCAAAATTGACAATTGTCTTTCGAAAGACTGTGGTGAGTTGAAAGCCAGTTGCCAGATTTGCTCTGTCAACCTACATATCGATGGTCTTCTGCAATAACGACACATTTTAAATCTCATAAATTATTTATAATGACTTTTGCCAAAATTTTAAAATCCAAATTTATCGCGGCAAATTCAATGGGTCCAGGTAAAATTATTTTGTGCTTTTTAGTCCAGTTATGGAAACGTGGTATATTAGAATTTGTTATTATTTGTATTGGATTTTTTTGGTGTACTTTGTTATTGTATTTGACACATCCTAAAACTTTGCAATAGCTTGTTCTCATACTCTGGAATATTTTGGTATAGGCTTATGAATTTCATGCATATTGCCTACTTGCAACATTTAGAGAATCTCCCTAATAAGTGTTAAAGTGCAAAATTACTAGAGCAGGAAGGAGAAGGTCAGCTGTTACTTAACTCAGCGCCCGTGTGCAAACTTTTTATTTGAAAACTGCGTATGTTTGCAGGCAAATGCACCTAAGCATGAAAAGAAAATTACGCTTAATTAGCTTAGTTTATACTTAAAAGTACGTTTAGAGCGTATACTTACACTTAAGTAAGTTAGTGTTAATTTGTCGGAAAGTAAGCTAATTGCATAACCTTAAGCCACAAATTGACCTTAGTAGACATAACTAAGTTGATGTTGCACAAGAACATACAAAAATTTTACAGACGTAGCAGTAGCCAAGTGGTCAAAAGTGCGTACTACTATTTACTCTGTAGAATCTACAAGTTTCTTTTTAAACAGTGGTCACCCCTCGACAGGAAATACCAAGCCTCCGAGTGTATTACTGCCATGAAAAGTCATTGGGCATTTTTGTATTGTAAAATTAGACCAATTTTTAACATTTTTCGGTAAATTTCTTTTCTAAGTTGCGAGAGCCACAAAACAAAATAAATTTGAAGAATTTTTTCCTCTTCACTCTCTGGCGGAAACAAAGACCCGGTTCTATAGTGAATCTGTCCAAGAAGTTTTACAGTAAAGTTGGTGGCAATTTAAAAATGGGTGCGAATCATTGTTCTACAGAAATGCAATATAAATACATATACTTACTTAAGACGAAATGCCGTAAAAGATTGAACGCATAATAATATTGGAAAATCACATCCATTGGACCCATTGTAACACAGGAGAGTTCGATATACTCAATGGCACCTTTTCTCACTTGGCTATTTTTAGTAATAACTCGACTACAGCGCCAACTGGCGTATTAAATTGTGAAACTAGACCATCCAGAGACCCACTCAAACACACATAAAAAATTTCGTTCAAATCCGTACAGCCATTTATGAAGATTTCACTCACAAACACACCCACAGAAGAATTATAAATACATTTCAAGATAGCTAAAAGTCGGTATGGTTGTAGGCCCCTTTTCAAATAGCCCCAATTTTCTATATGAGTATGGGCTTGATTTCATATAAATACATATCTCCATACAAAGTTCCAGAACTCTACCATGAACACTTCCAGAGATATGGAGTATGAAAAAATTCGGTTTGTATTGGAAGTGCCACGCCCCCTTTACATATAGAATTTTTTTAGCCTAAAACAATCCTTTGGACACGTGTGGCAGGTGTATGAAATTAAAAAAAAAATCGGTTCAGCCTTTCTTGAGCTTTGCGAACACTAAAAAAAACGGCTTCCAAAATATATACAAGTGTAGATGAATGAAAAAACCTCTGTATAAATAGCCGGGGCAAACTAAATATTTGTTATACTATTTAAAATAGGTTATGACAGCCATTTGTCGTTAATTTTATTAGATCATTGCAGTCTAAAATTTATAAAGGTCAGCCACAATACTAAAACAAAAAATATAATTGAGCTCGCTATTCTAATAATTACACAAAAGCAGCTAGTTTTCACTAGTCAAGTATAATTTAAGCCATAAAAACAAGTGCAGCTAACCACAGGCGACAGCTCTGTGCTACCAACAGCGCACATCTAAGAAGCTGGCTGCAATAAAACTCAGAATTATGGAAGAACCTGTGGCTGAAAATAGAGGGCGACGCAGCAGCGAATGTGAAAAACACCCAATCCGACAAGCAACAGCGAAAAACATCGGAATCTAACAAAAATACAATAAAAGCAACAACATTAATGACACCGGCAAAACGGCTGGCGAATTAGCAGCAAAATATATGCGAGGGTGCATATAAGTAAAATGAAACGCCGCAGGAAGAATGGAGAAGAAAGGAGCAACAGCCGTAGGATCAAAAAGACAGAAAATAAATAAATTCAGAATAAACAGACAACAGCCTTTACATTTCCACTGGCAAGCAGGCAACTAAAGGCAGGCCAGAAGAAATGTAACAGTCAAAGGGAGGATCCATAAAGTAGAGCAACAAAAGACTGGCAGACCAGCAAGGGGACAGACAAACATACATACATATATAAATATATATATATATATATATACACACAACTGGCAAATTTTGCAAATAAATTAAAAACGAAAATAACCGCATACTACTTACTTTATACTATAAGAAGTAAGCAACAGCATTACGGTTTATAAATATCGTTGGTAAGCGCTGCAAATTAACAATCAAGCAGATATGTATGTGGATATGTGGGTAACACTTGCCGCCACCGCCAACTGCCGTTGTGGCTACAGCAGTTGTTTTTATAGCATTTTTTGTTTCGTTAATGCACGTTTTTGTTGCACATCCCCTTTTGAATTTGCAAAACTTCACTTTTTCGAACATCTGTCGCTTGTTGTGCATCTAGGAAAGCTCTCTTGCACTTACTACCAGTCTCTTTTGCATTTTGCAGTGCCAGCTCTTGATTTCGTTTTCTAAAGAGAGTACGGAAATAGGTCTCTTTATATGTGTAACTCTATTATTGATATATTGACATGAATTTTGGCTAGAATCTGTCGAACGTGCTTCAAACTTCTTCACAACCCGAGTCTTCAAAAATATTCTAGTAGTGGTTGCCCCTCCGTTGGCAATATCAAACTTCCGAGTGTACTTCTGCCATACAAAAGCTACTCATAGAAACCATTTAGCTTTGGGCAGCGTCGTAGAATTGAAGACCCGTCGTAGAGCAGCGACAAACACATAGCGAAATCAGTAAGCGCCATTGATCTTCAGTTCAAAAAATACTGCGGTCAGATTTGGAGGTTTCAAGTTGTGCTGTTCGGGGTTGTGGTTCATTTTACCATTGTGGAGGAGGAAATATATTCCAGAGAACTCGTTACCTCTAACAACCAAGTCCAACTTGGGTCAAAAAGTGGAATGTTATTAAAGTCCTTTTCCTAATAATTTACTCTCTCGCTTGTTTGGCTTCCTTTCTTAAGGATTAATTGGGATTATGGGAGAGCTAATGAATTGGCGACAGCTAGACCCTTTTTTGGAAATATATCTCTGGAACGTCGGTAGTGGGATGTTTTTTGGAGTAATATAAGAAGAAGCTTTTGCATCAACTTTACCGTTACTAGGCAGTAGTGTTGAGATTTGTGGCAAGAATTACGAAGTAATGGTCTCTAGAGAATTTGACACACTGAGATCTGCCACAGCTATCCTTGCGTCGCTATATAGGCAAAATACTCTAGGGAGAAATCTTTTACCATAATTAGTTCACTTAAAGGGAGCCACAATAGGCAAAACCAGGATTAACCAAATAAGCTAAGAAGCTCCTTCAAAAGCACTGCCAGCAACTTATTACCTAATTTACCTCCTCCTGGATCGAAGTCGATTGGGTTGGATTAGATAGAAATATATGTTGGATAAGAAATAATCGGCTTAAAAAAGGGTTTATTTGGGTAGTCACTTTTTCCTTGCAAACTAACTAGATTCTTAGCAACTCCGAAGGCTTATCTGTGGAAAACGTTTAAACGAAAACCTTTATTTATTGGAATGAAATATGATATAATGTTCGTCCCCAAATATCCTAAGATGTAATTCTAAATCAATTTAGGGGTATCTCTTAAACTGAAAAAGCCTTGAAAACTTCGAAACTTCAGAACTTTTATTGGGAGGTCAAGATTTGTATAGAACTAAAAAAAAATCCGATATTAGGGAAATCAAGAAAAAAAACGTCTATAGATATCCAAAACACCGTTAAAATCCGGTTTGGAAAAACCGTGTCAATCACTCTAAGCACGTTCTAACAATATAAAATTAAAATTGCATTCGACTCGCATCTGGCTTTCATTAATATCTGATGAGTTTCGAAATTTCAAAAATATATATATTACCATATAATACTTTTTCTCTTAAACAAATATCCACACACCCTACAGTTCATCACTCCACTCTCCTCTAATATTTTAGTACAAAGAGCGCAACAATTGCCGCAAAAGGGAAGGTAAGAGCGCCCAAATGTAACGTACCAGAACGTGGCCAAACAACCTGTTTGCAAATATGCCAACTCTCTTTATGTGTGCCACCAGCTGAGAAAAATCAGCCAACAACGAAACACAACCAAATACTTCGACAATTGGACAGCAGTGCTACATTGCGGCATGCGGCGATGCGAAGGTATAAAAGGACAAACTGATACGCGCGTTCTTCAGTTTTAGTCCTGATAGCCTTTGCGAAGCAACGTGTTGAACGAACGGAAACGGAAAATACCGACTAAAGCGTAGAAAATGATCAAGTTTTTTTAAATACTTATATAACGAGCGGATAGCTAACAACATATAAACTAGCAGCGTAACTGCGAATGTGAAACGAGAAGTGTTGTTTGGTGAGGAAGGTACGAAAAGTAACAGCTGAAGCAGGAATAACAATAAAGAGCGCAAATAGAAATACAATAAATAATTCAAACGTTCAAATTGGACATCGTTAAGTGTGTTGTTGTGAATTTGTGGCGCAAAAAAAAATTGATTATTGAAAATTATTGTGAAAACGTGGAAGGTGAAAATTATAAATTCTTAGAAAATAAAAATAATAAAAAAGCATTTTTTGGTGTGCGTGAGTGTGAAAAGTGAGCATAGGCAGTGACCGACAAAAGCACGCATTTAACGCCATGTGCTTAGTGGGCTCTTGATTTATATAGCTTTCCGCACTTTATTGTGCTTTTAACGGTATTAACGCGCATTGCGTGCCAGACAGAGGAAAATAAAAATAAAAATAAAAAAGTGTATTTAAAAAGTAACAAAAAATTACACATTTTACGACAGTTGATTACAAAGTGCCGCGTAGCTAAACACTGAGACGCTACAAATTAAGCAAAAAATAAGAAAATAAAAAATTATAATCGTGACTACAACTCCAAGCAAAACCACGAAAATGTTTTCGTTTTCATGCGCGTCGCTTTTGTGGCGCTCAAGCGCTATCGTGTCATTAATTGGCGTAATCCTTGTTGCATGCACCATGCAACCAACCGCCAGCGCAGCAAGCGTCGTACAACCAGCAGCACACAAGCAAAGTTTAGGCAACATGTTGCGTGATGCCACTTACAATCAAAATATGGCCAACATACAGGTGCTCAGTGATAATGATGTTGTTGCTGTCGATCAATTAGATAATGATAATTATGTTAGCGAGGATTTTGCCAACGACTTTGCTGCTGCCTCTGAGCGCTCCACCAGCGATGAGTCGCTGAGTAGTGTTGAGCTTTTACGTTTTGTAGATGAGCGCGATGATGCGCTGCTAACACAAGCATCAACAACAACAACAACATCAACAACCGGTATAGAGCGTGGAACAGCGAGTAGCAAATCGACAATTACACCGACTACAACTACAGTTGCGCCGCCACGGCAAGAACGAAGTGGTGGTGGTGGTGATGATGATGAGCTTCCCCTCGCCGAACAGGTGCAATTACTTTCGAAACAGTTAAATGCGCTGATGATGCGCCGTCGCGAAGATTACGAACTGCTCGAGCATAATTTACGCAAATCATTGCGAATGGGAGGAACCACAGCAAGTGATGCTGCTGGCGATGCGGATGTACGCTCCGAATTGCAGGATTTGCGGTAAGTAGCGGAAATGAATGCAGTCAGTCATTGTTGGGTAAACTATCAAATAGAGCTGTTGAATCTAAAATTAGCTATTGCAAATGATGTCACAGTTGCTAAGTGGGTCAGTCGAACAATTGCTGGGTGGGGGCGGCGGCAATAAACATAATTTCCACTGCGGCAGGTATTTAATCGTTGCGCCAGTATTGGCCGCCCACCTTGCTTACAGTGTGTAGGTATTCCTGTCCTCGTTTTTAGTGTGCGCGCCTTCTTGCAGCTATATATAGTTACTCAAGCCGTACAATTTTACTGCATGCAATTTTCTGTCGCACGTTTTTCACTGTATTTTCTCCGTTTTGGCCACCGCTACTGTTTGATATGCGGCTACACCAAATTAGTTATGGAAATTTTAATTAGTCACTTTTTGGGATGGTGTTCATTTTCGTGCATACATATATACAAGTACATACATATCCATGAGTAGTGTAAGTGTGTGACTTTTTATGCTAATTAATATGCAACAACGCAAGTCGAATATTACATAATTATTGAATGAGAAATTTTTACAATTATTAAAAAAATAATAATTTCCCTTATCCCGAGTTTCGCCCGAAAAAAATTCACCGTAAAAATTTTCCTCCGCCCATAATAAATACATGGAAATGAATTTTGAAAATTGAACTTGTTTATGATAAGGCTAAATGTAATTGGAATTCTCGCATTTTTATATCAAGCATGCCAACCCAGCAAATATTCACAGCTATAAAGCGGTCACTGAGGAATCCTATTTTGTAGTGTTGGTCCTTATAATGCTTTCTTTTATGAGTCCGAAAAGAAGGTATTTCATGTCTGCCCTAGGTCGACTTTTATGAACTTAAATTAATATACCAAATAAGCCCCAAAATTATTCGTAAATATGTGACTCTTATTGCGAGCATATTAGTCTCATTTCGTACTCTTTCTATTTTCTTAAAACACTCCCATAACTGTTATTTATTAAGGTACTATATTCAGACTCGTTTTGAGTCTCTTGCATGACTCCTATATGCCTCATAGACGGCCTATTCTAATAACCCTTTTTTTATTATTTATTCGACATATTTTTGTTAATACTATTTGTATGTATACCTAAGGGTAAAAACATAGTGGAGCGGCGTGCAAAGCGAATAACTAGCATCGAGCAAAGCTTCAATTACAAACTTGTATGCACGCTTTGCTCTTCACTATGCGTTCTCCCATTGAAACATATGCGTTTGAAATCGATGCTTTTCTCGATGCTCTATGCTCGCCCTTACGCCATGTTTTGACCCTAAGACTAAAATAGCGTTATAATTATTTATTAAAACTCATGGACACGTCGTATCTCGGCTGCACTGTGGACCAGTCAGTGATCAAAACTGGCCAAAATTCAAAAACTTATCGGTTTGGCTTGAAAATTGTCATTTGGAGGTTTTTGGGGTCGCTGATTAAGAATCTTATATTCAATTTAAAAAAATTCAAAATGACGGATACAGTATGGCGGACAAAATATTTTGACAATCGTTTGGACTAGTCTGTAATAGGGATGTTTCGAATGCCATATTTCGCGAATGCGAATTTTCGGAATGCGAATGTTAAGTTATAGTTTTTTATTACTTAAAAATTTTGTAAATTATTAGAACATTGTACGAGTGCTTAACTTATACAGTGGTTAATCTGGTAGTCAAAGTTCAAAAGGGGCATATTATATTTCAAAAAAGTAATTTTGCTGCCTTTTCTCCCATGAGGCGATTTATTTAGAGGTTCGCATATAAGGCCGGCCGCACTGAACAATTGCTCACTTGGAACGGCGCGTGGAGCGCTCAACTATTTGCGGGCCAGATTTGTCAACTTGTCGTATTTTAGTATATTTGTCTACCAATTGAGAGGATTTTCACCGAGAAGAGCCCGTTTTATCCTTAAAGATAGGCCTTCAATTGAGCTTTTAATTTACATTTTTAATGCCTCCAGATTTTGTATCCGAGGATACGCTAGAGGAATCTATAATTATTTCCATACATAAATAGATGAAGAAGCTACATATATATAAAAAAAATCCTATCTAAACAATCAATGATATGGAAGATATACATACATACCTTATAAAGCACCAATCTATGTGTGATCAGCAGGGTTTTAAGGCATTTTAAGGCACTAAACAAAAAAAAGCCAAAATGAGCTTTCAAAAAAGGCAAGAAAAATTGTTATATTTTTTAATTTTGTTATATACATACATTTAGTACAATGTAGATATGTATATGTAGGTCCAATTAAATATTATAGCCGCACCACTTTTTGCCAAGCTTTAATATATTATGTTTGTTGTTATGTAATTTTGCTTAGTTTTATAAAAATATCAAGTGACTGAACATTCAATGGTTTATATTCTGGAGAAAGACGAGAATTTCGCTTGAAAGAAATTTATAACATCTACATTTCGAGACAATTCGCCTTATTAATAAAAAATAAAGTCGCTTTAAAAAAGGTTTGTAAATTGTTAAATTCATGAAAATGTTAATTTATAAAGCTCTTTGAACCTACTTTATTTTTTATGAATGAGGCCAAATATTTGTAGTTAGAAAAGTGATATGAGTTCAAGTTACAAAGCTTACTATTACTGGAATCTTACCTGACTCCTTTTGTATCAGCTGTCAAGAGGATGTTGAGGTGGAATTGCCTCAGCAGTTTCTACTAGACTGTACATTCTTTGCAGGGTAAAGATGGAAACTCTGGGGAGCTTACAGGAATTAAAATTAGCCGCATTCGATATTTATATCAGAAGTTAAAGCTTGTGAAAATTTGAGATAGAGATTATTCAATGCAAGACCTCAATATGCTGATCCGTCAATTCACAAAACAGATTTTTATAATTCAGAATTGAATAGCTACCTCATTGCTATACTTCGCTTTATTATTTAACGACAAACCATGGAAATCAATCCCAGAATGATGACAGCAAGGCAATAATAAATTTCTTACTTAATATAAATAACCGAAAAGTAAAATAAAAAACCGCTGCAGACAATCAAAATCACACACGAGGCAACACAATGAAAAATACATTTGGCGCTGTTGCCAAGTTCCCTAAAACCGAAACAACAATACACCAAACCGTCTATAGGCAATGGTGTGTATATTAAATGTTTAGAAATGGGCTTGTTATCGTTGTAGCATATGGTGCAACATCATTCGAGAAAATATTTGTTACACAACTTGAAAATGTGTATAAAATCACACGAAAAGTTGTCGCATATAAAACATCAACAGATACTTATAAACATCAAACGCTGGAAGTCCGCACATATGTATGTACATATGCATGTACATATACATACATATAAGCATGTTAGTATGTGTGGCAAGGATGTTTAAGGAACGCACGTACCACACACGTACATACTATGAAAAATGTGAAATAATGCTGCAGTAAAATATTTCATACGTGCATGAGATAGTGTAAGCCAGTGTCTGCTTTTATACCTTCGACAACATTTACGGCATGACAAAGTATAAAACTCAAAAAGCGGTTGCCACTAGGCAAAATGATAAACAAAACAAAGTACAACATTCGTGGCGAAGCCAACAACAGCAGGAGCAGCAGGAGCAGATGTTATGCAATAACAATAGCATTAACATACACCCACATAAATAAATCTAAAGAAAGGTATGCAATGAGGCAGATACATATGCACAAACGCCTACATGACAATAAACATACGTACACATACAAAAAAAGCCTCATGCAGCGCTGGCATTCAACTGGGTGTATAAAGAAAACACTTGCAGTGTAGCCACTATTTCGAAATACAAGTAAGGATTTTATGCAAGTAGCGGCAGTATATTTATATATCTATACACACATATGTAGACACAGTATGTATGTGTGCATACCTCCAGAGGTACATGTACACTAGGGTTTTCCATGAAATATCAACATTAATGGGGTGCCCTTTATTTTTGTTCTACGTACAAAATAAAAACAACCACAAAAATTTAAAATTTGAAAACCAATTTAGGGGTCGCTAACAAGGTTTAAAAAAATATTTATTTTTTTTTATTAAATCGTAAAATTTTGACCTTTAATAATATGGCAAATTTATCACAGATGAAGTGGAAATTTTATCGAAAAACTTAAATTTTTTTAAACCCTGGTGGCGATCCCTAAAAATTTGTTTTCAAATTTGAAATTATCGTGGAGGTCTTTACTTTTTACGTAGTATAAAATAAAGGGGTGTGTGTCACGTACAAAATTAAGATGTTGCTGTTTTTTAGGAGCACCCTAATGTGTACACTTTCCTTTGTATGTAGTTCTGTAATTCTTTGAGTGTATTGCGTCAGTTTCTGCATTTTATTCTTTGCTGTATTTACAATGCTATGTATTCTGTTTTCGTTTTCGTCTGAAGTTTATTTATTATCTGTTTACTTTAATTATATTATGTTGATGCAGACAGTTGACCAAATAAAATTTTTCAAATTTCGCTGATTATAGTTTTCTTATGATGTTTTGATTTCTACTAACAAAATTTCGTCTTTTGATTTACCCTTTCACTTGTAAGTTTTATTGTCGTTGTTGCTCTGTTACATCGCAAAATCTAGATATATGTATGCACTAATATCAATTTCACCTGTGTTCTTTACCGAAACGACTGATGTGCTTTGTTGCACTCGGCCAAAATCGCTTAGGCGGTTACAGCGTCAAATAAGAAAGAGAAAATCAAATAAAATTTGTATCAGAATTTTTTGTATCAGAGGGAATATGCCCAGAAGAGTCGTCACATTTTATTTATAAGCCTGCATATACATATATATATGCGTGTATTTTTATAAGTCAAATATGCACATATGCCTTTGCAAGGGATTACCCATCCACCGTTAAGTCAGTCATTTGTGACTTCTAATCGAAACAATTTGCATATTCATCCATAAAAAGCTTTAAAACACATTAGCATATAAAAGAAAAATATTTGTACGTATAAATATGTCAAAATTTGTATTCACAC